CAGCCTGGAGGCAGTGCTACAAAGGTCAACGCGCCGTTTTAGAAACGTGGAACGGAAAGGAAGATGGAGAAGATACGTAGTCCCATGCTGTCCTGGAAAAACGCTTGGCTTTGAGTGTTTCGCAGTATTTCCTGCTTTTAGTTCTCTCTATCCCTGCTCTGGTGTCTTCTTATCRTCGCCCTCCTTGTGATACCTCCAACATCACACGCCGTAAATATAGCTGACCTTGACGAAGCCATCTCCAGAGATTGTATGTGCGGAAGAAAAAAAGAAAGAAAAAGAACTAGGGAAGTGGTGGGGGGGACAGAAAATGATGGCGGATAAGTGAGGGAAATTGTAAACAAAGAGGTGTTTATTTAATGGAAGCCCTGAAGCATGGATGCACCCAGGAGAGAGAGAGAGAGAGAGATGGACCCCTGATTATCAAAACACAAGGTACTAGGCCATTTAAAAAAAAAAAGGAGAATGGAGAGAGGGCTGAAAAAACACCAGTGTCTTGGCGAGTCAGATGTGTTGCGGTTATTAATCTGTTTTGGCTGTCCTTCACAGGCCTGGGGGGGTGCGAGGGAGGGAGAGCTTTTCTGCAGTACTAGGCTGCCCCCTTTTGGAGAAAGTGGGGGAAAATGTTTTACATTCATCCATTATCTTTTACCTGCTTCTTCCTTTCCAGCAGTCATGGTGGGAGGGGTGGGGTTCACCCTGGACAGGTTGTGAGTCCGTCACAGGGACACACAGAGACAAACAACCCGTCCTGCTCTGCTCTGTGTTTTCTAAATCTGTGTTTTTGGTCTGTGGGAGGAAACCAAAGAACCAGAGAAAACCCACCCCTGCACARAGAGAACATGCAAACTTATCGTTATAGTTGCTCTCCAAACAACTTTAATAGATCAACTTAAAGCTGAGAAGTTTTACGCCACAGATTCTTCTCTTTACCAAAAAACATTAAAGTTTATGCAACTTTAACCATTTATTTAAAAAAAACGTCATCTTTTATAAAATGTACAAAAGTGGTAAATATAAAAATAATGCTGGATATGATGAATCGCTGGAGAACTTGTTTCGCTCCAGTTGTACTCTGAGGTTGGGATTTCCGACTTCCAAGTCGAAAATGTGAACCGGAACGCACACTGTTGTCGTAATTACACAACCAAACCAATATCATAGTGTTAATGAAACCTGTTTTTATTATATTTGGACATGCATGTTCTCTGACATCCATTGGGGGGTGCTGCAGCACCCGCCACACCCCTATTTCACTCAACTTAAAGTATCTTTAGTTCCACTGGTGGGCAAAAAACGATGCGGTTTCTGCCTTTAAATGATTCAAGACACTACCGGGGGCTTTTTTTTTGAGGTAATGAAAGGTAACAAGGTAACGCAAAGGTATTGCGAGGTAACGCAAAGGTATTACGAGATAACGCAAAGGTATTGTGAGATAACGCAAAGGAATTGCAAGGCAATGCAAAAATATTGCGAGGTAACAAAATATTGCGAGGTAAGGCAGTTATTGCGAGGTAACAGAAAAGTATTGCGAGATGACGCAAAAGTATTGCGAGGTCACACAAAAGTATTAATAGGTAACACAAAAGTATTGCGAGGTAACACAAAAGTACTGCGAGATAATGCAGTTATTGGGAGGTAACAAAGGTATTGCGAGATAACGCAAAACTATTGCGAGATAATGCGGTTTTGTGAGGTAACGCAAAAATATTGCGTGGTAACGCAAAAGAAAAAAAAAAGCCCCCTATGTTTTAGACAACTTCCTCCGGTTATTATCTTTAGTTTCACAGCCTTACAAAAATATTTTTAAAATGTCAAAAAACTTTATTTCAGGAGCGACTGTTAATGAAACTTGTTTTTATTATATCTGGACATACATGTCCTCTGACATCCATCGAGGGGTGCTGCAGCACCCGCCACAACCCTATTTCACTCAACTTATCAAAGTATAAACGTTTCTTTTTAATCTGTAATTAGATTTAATACGTTCTAAAAATAAATACAGCAGTTTTTTCTTCAGAGTAAAGTTTTACAAAATGTCAGCCTCTTCATCTTTGATTTGCTAAAATGGTTTTCTTCATGAACTGACCTTTGTGTAAAATTTGTTCAATACTTTTTTTTCTCTGCTATATTGAGTCTGAAGATGCGAGAGGTACCGGGTTCATCCCGGACGAGCCCCCATTATGYTACGACCCAGTGGCTCAAAAGGAAGCAACATAAACGGGACAACCAGACAAGAGGTGGAGTTTGACTAAAAAGGTTTATTAAAACTAAAAGGCTAGTTGTAAGGGGACACCAGCAAAACTGCACCCACGCAGCTGAGGGAGGAGAAAGCGTCTCCTCTTCCTCAGAGGATGAGGCCCAATTAAATAGGCTGTTCACACCTGCAGATGGTTGATGATTACAGGTGAGAATCTACCTGGAAAGAGATACACAGTCTCGTAACAGGGTACCAAAGAGTTTCCCACATTAATTACAAACAATGTTTGTAATAATATGTTTATTTTTCAAATCAAGTGAAACACTTAGAACATCTTCAAAAATCCAATCCCAAATTCACAGAAATAAAAAAAGTCAGTACACTTTTTAAAGAGGCTAAAATAACGAGGGATTTGCACATCAACTGTTTTCTCCATTCAACATCAATCAGAGCTTGGCTCCATGTGTGCTCCACAGAAAGGGAGCAGGTTTTTTTTTCTTTCTGGCCACAACGTAGAGAATAAAAACATGTAGAGGTGTAGAAAACATGAATGTGCTACGTTTTGTACACAAACACGTGTGAAACGGTTACAGCTCGAGATGAAACAAATGATGGTTGACAACACGTTTTTGTGCTCGAAGCAGAGCAGCTTCAGTCTGCTAGCACCATTATTTTACTATATATAAAAAACAATGCCTAGCTCACTGACAAGTTTGGACTTAAATATTAAAAACTCACTGATTTTGATCACTTCTATTTAATAATGTGGTTACAGTTGTAGAAACTGTTTTGTTGTCAGGGCTGAATCCGAAAACAAACTTCACATCTGAGCAATAAAAGGATGATTAAGCAACCAGCTACATCCAACTCCAATCGGTTAAAAGTTTTACTTTCTGCACCTCAGTTGTAGTTGTTAGTTAATATAACAGCATCTCTCAGCAGAGCTTCAGCCTAAGATGTTTATAATTACCACTAATGGGATATAAAAGAGATAAAACTGAGCTTTAGCCTGGTTGTGCTGATCTGAAACTGGGAARGTTAAAATAAGTTTGTTCCACTTTCAGTCAAAAACGCAAAGTTTCCCAAAATGCTGACCAAATTCTTTTTGCCACGTGAAAAGATACCTTTTCAGAGTAAATCAGAATTTTTTTAGAAAAAAAATTAACCTGATAGTTGAAGTCTTTTTAGCTTTAAAATATTTAGTAAAGACATATTAAGAAAGTGTGATTGTTCTAAAATGATCGTGTCATTCTTTATTATCCATTAAACCACAGTATAAGTTAACGACTCCTTCTGTAGCGTCTTTCTTTGTGCTGGGGAGACGTGAACTGGTACAAACTTATTATTATAAACTTCTTATAAATCACAGAAAACTATTTTCACCAGGATTTGTTCAAACTGGTGAAATCTTTGTTTTTATTTCTCGTCTGGGGTTGTGGATTGCAGATGATGGCACCAGATTTTAGTTATGATTCAAACACTTCATTGTATCATAATCATGACTGAGCATTTTCCCCGCATGGTTCATCTAAATTTTACACAATACAACACTTGAGGCAGGAGAAGTTGTGTAAATAAATCATTGGATCCAGTTTTTTAGTCAACATGTTGCCTTGATAAACCTTTCCATCCAGCTGATTTGTCTCGGTGCATCAGTCAGTATCACATTGATTCGTATAAAGAAAGAAAAAAGCTGATATTTTGTTTTATGTAGTTTGCTTTAATGTTTTATGTGTAAATCAACCTAAATACCTTGTGAGTTCAAATGGCAATACTCCATTTGCTCAAAATTGATCTTTAGGCTCTCGAGTTAGGGACAATATTTTCATTTATAAACATTATTTTAAAACAGCTGCACAAAAATCACCATTCGTACAAAATCTACTGGTTTTAATGGGAACCAATCGTGTCTTTCTAAACTCCAAAAGCAGTTTGCACCAAGAAAGGGTATCATCTCTGAGCCACCTATCTTCTAATTATCTTAAGCTGTGAAAATGGCTGAAATGGGCCAAATAAGGMCACGAAGATGGTATCTGTTTGGTGACAAGTCGCAGAATTAAAACAGAGATTCCAGCCTTGCTCAAGTGCAAACCTTCTCCCCCTCAGGCAATCGTATCAAGTGGTTATAAAAACAGTTAGGATAAAATACAAAAATCAAAAACAACAGTCCAAGTATCTTCAAAAAGTGTTCACATGACCATAAAATATTTCATATCTAATATTTATATAGCTAGCCCGACAAACTGAGGTAAACTTACTGGCTGTGTGGAGCTAATGAGGAAGGAAATCCTT